CATAATGAGAGACGGAGTGTGTATCCGTAATCAAGCCCATAAAGGAGAGCAGCCAGGGGAAGACGAGAGGCCTCTGAATGAGTCAATCATGATTAATCAAGAAGCACAATCTCGTCTGTCTCATGTGTTTGTGCGCTCAGACTCATCACGGCTGTCATCACACGCTGAGGCCCGCATCTCCTCCGCTCCCATCACGGTGTGCACGGCTCCTCAGCGGGTTTCCTGGAGGTGGAGATGTTCTGCAGCTGCTTCTGTGTGCAATATGGAGGTAAATATGCATCCTAAAGCTGGGGTACCTAACTTTTTGTGAGACATAAATAATGCATTTTGTTTGTGCCAACAGGAAGAGTCTTGTAAAGTATGTATTTGTGGGAAAATCAGACCACTACATGTTGTCTTTGTCATAATAGAAAACATCTTATCTTTTGCAAAGGGCAATTCATCCTCTGCATTTGACCCATCCTGATGCCGCGAAGGCTTACGTGAGGAGCAGGGGTCGCCGTAGTAACAGCGCCCGGGAACCCATCTCCAGGAGTTGATGCTCGGCTTGGTCAGGATTACCGGAGATGGAGGAATTTACCTTTTTTGCATGTTATTAGTAGTAGGGGAAACTGGAGCACCCGGAGGAAACCTACGCAGGCACGGGGAGAACATGCAAACTGCACTCAGAAAGATCCTGTTCTGACCGTTTGAAGTGGTTAGCCATGCTTCTACAGTATCAGTCAGATAAAGAGATCCTTTATTCGTCCCACAGTGGGGAAATTTCAGTGTTGCATCACAAGTTATAGAACAGTAGCAAAGAGGAGCACACGGCACAAGTTAAGTGAAAAATAGCTATACTAATTAAAGTAAAACAAAATCTCTAACTCTAGCATCAAATATTAAGTTTAAGTTTAAGTTTAGCAACAGCTGTATTTGGATCTACATGTTTTATTTCTCATGTTCTGAGTCAGTATGAACTGACTGTTTAAGCAACACTAAAAGTCTCACATCCATGCAGCATATTGTGCATCAATGGTTGAAACAAATGTAAATTGAAGAACTGTAAGAGCTTGTACTTCTTGTACTTTTCCTTTAGTTGATTTCTATACATGTATCAGTACTTTTACTTCAGACTAATACTTTTGCCTCCTCTGGGGGTTGAGTATAATTTCTGAGGCTGTTTGTTGAACTGATTTCATGGCCATTGTTTCTGTATTGCTGTACGTTGAGTCTTAGCTGTCAGCATGAATGAGAGTAGCAAAAACATTATTTTCGAAACTTCATATTCTTCAACCCTAAAACTGTGAGTGTTGTCAGTTGAAATGACTTTGAGTCATAAGATTTTATAGAAAGTTTGTAAAGTCATTTTCTAAGTTTACAAATAAATTTTTCTTCACAAAACATATTTTAAATTGCCCCTGCTGTCTGTTCAATTTCAATTTCAATTTAAAACATGTATTATTCATAACACAGAATGGACCTCACAAAAGTCTCTCATTTTGACAGTGCAAACAAAAGCTCATAATCTGGATTTTCAGAAGTTCTGGTGCAGCCTCTGCAGCTCAGACTGCTGAGTTTCTTCACATGAGACATGATGAGTCCATCCACTGAGAATGAGACTCATCCAGAGTCATCTATATCCTTTATATCCTATGCCTTTATCTAAACCTAATACAGTGATGTTTTGTTCATGTTTAGCTGAGGCTCGGGTGATTCCTCAGTCCTTCCTCAATGACAGAGAGATGGAGGTGTATGTGTGAGACCTGGGAGAGAAACGCCTCACTAAACTCCACTCTACACCTTTGTCTTGCACACAAATGGATATGTGAGGATTCAACAAGCCAAGTCATGTCTCTGCACTAATGGACTAAATGAGGATTATGTGCAGGTGCCAAGCAGGCTCAGAGATGTCACATCAATTGTTGGTACGTGCGCGCAGAATAGATAAACTGTAATCAGTGCAGCCAAAGGCACAGGAAGCTCCTGCTGCAGCGTGAAAGGCAAACACAGCCACATGTGAGCCTCCCCCAGAGCAATTACACTGTTCACATCACAAGAGCAGAGCGACACCGCAACGCCCCCTGCTGCTCTGCCTCAGAACTATTTGTGGTTATAACTGTGGTACCCGTTTCAAACCACGAAAATGAATGTGCTCACTGCTCTCATAACAGTTTGGTTGGATCATTAGTCTTCTCACACATGTATTTTTGGCCTCTGTTTCATCTTTGGATCAACTTATTCAGACAGAAAACTGACTAACAGAAGACCAGCCTCTCACAGCCAATCAGCTCTCAGCCCCACACGTCAAATAGATGCTCACAGGGCTCGTATGCAACAGATGAAGAAAAGATGTTGTGGTCTGATTTGTTCACAAAATCAGGGCTCACTTCATCACATTTTCATTGATTGTATTGTCCTTGTGCTGTCAATGTCAAATAAACTGCTTTTATATTTTCTTTTGGGTATACCAGCATATGTTATTTACAAAGAAAAAGTTTGAAACCACGAAAAATGTATTCAGCCCAAAGTGTGAAATAATGACTCGGGGCTCTTTATACCGTTTCTAAGATAAAGTCAGCATGACAATTCACTACTGAAACAAGTAAGTAAGTAATGTTTATTTATATAGCGCATTTTACAGACCAAGGTCACTCAAAGCGCTTTACAATGTTCAGAGTCAGATATTGTTCCAATCATTCCACACACGGTGATGACCATCAGCTCCAATCAACACCATCCATTCACTCTCTCATTTACATTCATACCTATTGTACATGTTTTTGGTGGTAGGGGAAACCGTAGCATCCGGAGGAAACCTACGTAGACACGGGGAGAACATGCAAACTCCACTCAGAAAGGCCCGGTTCTGACCAGGATTCGAACCCCGGACCTTCTTACTGAGAGGCCACCGTGCCACCCAAGACTCCCTCTGTTGTAAAATATGTATTTATGAAGCAAAAACTCTGGTACTGCAGCTTTAATTGTGTGTAGGAAAAAAAACGCATTTTCATTTTTGATTGATTTTATTTATAAGGCACCAGAAGTCCTTTCTCACTGCACAACATTTCAGATTATTTACAGGAAATGTTTGCTGTACTTTTTTGTTGTCATCATTACACATTTTTAGGTTTAAATGAAGCTAAGATATAAGACACAAAACATTTTAGTTGCCAAAGCACACACTTTTTAGGTTGTACATTATACACAAAATAAGTATTTAGAAAGACCTTTACAAAGCCCAAAATGCTTACACTGCATCACGGCGCTGAAGTTGTGAGAAAAGGGCAGGACTTTGGATGGGGCTTAGAAAATGAAGTACTGCAGTTGCCCTGGTATCACAGCTGTAATTATGCAAGACAAGCACAAAAATCATCCAAAACGGACAAAAGAGCAGCCAGAACACATAAAGCTCTCTATGCAAATCTGTATACACTGTTCTCGCCTCAACTACTTCAACAAACACATAGAAATTCAACAGTCCTCCTGCAGTCGTCTAAAATACCGTGAAAGAAACGTCAATCACCCCAAACCGCAGACATTCAGAATTATGTATCCAGCGGACATGCAGTGAACAAGGCTGGAGCATCATGGGACGTCCGGTTAGATACCTACAAAGAGTTGGAGGAGAACAAAACAGTATCCACAAGTGTTTTTCTTGGTAATGTTTGGTGAAGTGCTGTATATGCAGAGTCCACAGCATTAGATTTGATTGTGGGTCCGGACCTGGGCTGAGGTCAGAGCGGGTCGTGACTGCACAAAACATTGCATTTTAAAACCCATAATAGCCTGTACCAAAAGAACAATCTAGTGCTGATATGGCCAAGTGGTCAAGGGGAAATCTAATGATGATGAAAGGTGAGTAACTTCGGACATTTGTGCCGACAGAATGCGGCTTTAGTGACATGAGCGCAGGCTAAAGCTGAGCAGATGAAATGTCCAGGGGTCCTAGAGGTTTCTTTGAGTCAAATTGGACCTGTTTTCAGACCTGTTTAAGACCATTTGAAAGGAAATGAATAAATACAATGTTATTTAATAGAAAAAAAAATATTGTGGTTCAAAAATTAATGTGTGACAGAGAAGTTACATACTACACATATTTTAAGACCCAGATATTAACATTATTTTTTGTATTATCAGTATTATTTCCATTTTATAATTCCAATGCTTTTAAGACTTTTAAAAGACCCTGTAGGAACCCTGTAGCAGGCATGATGAAGACATGCTCCTGGACCGGTCGTTTGGGTTTAAGACAACAGTCCTAAAAAGACAAATGCAACTGTGGACTCACAACCGTAAAAACTACTAATACCCTTGTCTTGTTTAGCACAGGAGTGGGAGGGTCTTTGAGACTAGAATTCATTATTCAGAACATGTTGAGCTTTTAGAAGCAGGCGCTGAACACAAACTGAGAAGCACCAACACAAACTGTGGGGGTTTGAACCAAAAGAGTGGATAAATACAGCGTATTCAGTGTGTGCTTTAACATTGTTCAGCTCAGGCCTGAAGATTTCTTCAAAGAGACACACTGCCCTCTGCTGTCAAACTCTCTACATGCATGATCTCTGGTGCTTTGATGCTGGGAGACAATTATATTAATATACAAAAAAAAAAACAGAAATTGGGACAAATTTAAGATTGGTGTATAAAAGACCTGTTGCTTATTGGATGTTTCAATGGCACTCTTCAATTAAAACATAGAAAAACAGAGAGGATTGGTAAACAACGTCAGCACAAGTGAATGCATGTCTTCAGAGTGTGTCAGGCTAACGAGGAGCAGAGTCCCACAGAGCAGTCCCATGAGTTCTCAAGAAACAAATACAAATGTAAAATCAGAAGGACAGAAAACCGAGCAGGGACCCAGCATGGCAGTAGAACATTTAACACGTGAAGTCTCTCCATGTGAAGTCTGGCAGAGGCAGGACGTAGCCGGGCAGCTGTGCGGAGGTCAGTGCGTGTGGACTGTAGACGGAGGCAGTGGGCCACAGGACATGCTGGGGGAGCTCAGGTCTTTGGAAACACTAATCAGACTTGTCTCCATCTTCTTCACGATGGCTGTCTGCTCCATCACGGGAAGCCTTCTCCTCCTTGGCCAGCTGGGCCTGAGATGCCAGCAGAGAGGACAGGGAGAAGAGCCCAGATGAGGTGGTGACCGCAGGCAGAGTGGGCTGGCTCAGACCCAATGGCAGCGGGGTCATGGGCAGGGCCAGTCCTTGGAGCTGGGACAGCTGGTGAGCCTGGAGCTGCTGCTGTAAGAAGGGAAGAAAGGAGAGCTTAGAGGTGGAGGCCACAAAGTTTGCAACCACAGCATGAATGGAATGATACTGTCCTTTCTCATACAGATAAATATGCATAAATCAAATTATATCAAATAAGAGAACAATATGGTGTATGAGTTATTATGGTTCTTCATCAGTATCCAATCAGAAAAAGGGCTGCCAGGTTATTTGATGAAATCCAGTGTCGTCTCCATCTTAACCTCAGCACTGAGGGGACATTATGAAATTAAAGCAAATAAGCTTGGGTTTGAACTCAGGTGAGATTGTTGGAGCCTGAATTCTGAATTCATTCAAGTGTCAGATTGTAATTGGATGATAGAAAGAGACAAACTGAGAGGGCATTTGGTTTATCTCTCACTGTTTAACACAAAATATACAGATTTAAGCCCAGGATCAATTTAAGATGATAATTTGTGAATTTATTCTCATTATAAATGTCTACAATATGTATAAGCACATTTATCATAAGAATTCACATATTTATTCCTATATTTCTCAAATCAGAACATTTCTCATTCATGAAAAAGGCACAGAAACCTTCAAAGAGAATCTACACTTCCTTTTGTCGCTGTCACTGTTTGTATGTGTCATTAGCAGTCTGATGATCACACTGCTTTTTAGAAGTGGGAGGATTACGTCGATATCTCAAGAGTTTCCGAGATCACATGAATGTATCAAATGATTTCACTGTTCTCTGTGCTCAACGCAAATGACATGTTTTTGACCATTCTGAGGTTATAGCCATGTAATGTCTTTATGATGCAGAGAAGATGCAGGGACTGCTCTAACCACATCGGACGTCGATTTGAAAAGAGCACTAATGATCGGTAATGGTGCGTCTGCCCCCACAGGTGGAGTCATACCCTGATGATGGAGTTCATTTCAGGGGGGGTGACCTGCTTGGCGCGCTCGATCGCAGCCAGGACCTGCTGCTGGTGCTGCAACAGACAAGTGACGGGTGACGAGAGGGGGAGACAATGGCCCAGAGAGAGGAGGGTGAGGAGAGAGAGGTGGAAAGGTTAGATCAATATCAATAGTCCCAACCGAGCGTCAACATGTCCAACAGGTGATGTCCCCCTTCCCCCTGGCCATTCTTCTGTTTGTACGCACACACAGATACACACACACACACACACATGCACGCGCAAACACACATACAAAGGGCTGTGGGAGGCTCCAGAGAATGGATGGGGGGTTGGTGCGCTGTAATGGGTGGAGGTCAACCCCTGGTGGGTAGATAAGAGCGTAGCTTATCTGAATCACACAACCGTTTATTACACTGACACACACACGTACGCACACACACACACACACACACGTGCAGGTACTGAGCGATGTGGGGGAGGAGCTGGGCGGAAACATTGAATATAGCGGGGAGAATCATGAAGACGGAGAATGGGCGAGGGGGGTGCAGTGAAAGGAAGCGGCTGATGATGAATGACATGAGCCCGGGGGTGGGGGGGTTCACGCAGGCGGCGGGGTAATGAGGCGCGAATGAGACCCCAGACCGTTCCAGGATTTGAGGCGCGGGGGCAGAGGTGAAGGGCCACAGTGTGTCAGCGAGCATACGCACCTCCTGAGACAGGTAGGGCAGCACTTGAGCACAGATCCCATTTAATCTCTTCACAATTTCAGCCTGGAAACAGAAAAAGGATTGGATGAGACAAAAAAAGCTTATCATCAGAGCATTCTCTTTCAATTCATTATTTAAATTTCTTTTGGAGGGTTGGACAAATAGAAATCTTTGGGACATTATTCATCACAATATCAGAATACCTAAAGAAGAAATATTATGCATTATCTTTGGCCATTCAAAACAATAATAATCCTTTTTACTTTGTCCTGTTATGTTAGTAGTATTTTTAAGTAAAACATGTATGGAAAAAAAAAAAAAAAGAGTATCAAACTTAATGGTACACTGTGCAATATTTAGTGCCATCTAGCGGTGAGATCTTATATTGCAGTCCAAGGTCCTACGGAAGCCTTTGAGTTGAGGAGCACTGTCTCTGACGGTGCTCCTCAACTCTCAAGTCATTCACCAGACTGCCGAGGAAAGAATACTTTAGTTGGATACAGTGGCGGCCGGCCAATAGAGGGCGCTAGGGCGCCGCCCCACCACTCACAACTTGCCATGTTACCTTGAATAAAACGTTAAAAAAAATAATAACATTAAAATATTTCGAAATGTATGTGTGTTTTATTTCAGATGTGGAAGAAATACTTTATAGTTTATGCTGAGTTGGATTGATTAAGCTCATCAGCGTTGTCTGTGTCGGACTGAGGACGTATTTCCGCCTCAGGGCGCAAAAGATTGCGCCCTGAGCCGTCTATGGACTCTCGTTAAAAGTTGTACATGCGCAGTAGCTCCTCTTCAATGCAAGAGATAAGACGATTTGGGGGCGCAGGAGAAGTGCGCCCTGAGGGGGCGGGATCGCCCGCGACCTGTACTGTCACTGTTTTTGACGTCCGTTTACAGTGATTGACAGGTCAAGCTGTGGGAGTTTGAGACGAACGTAAAGAGACGCAAAATGGAGAACGAGAAAAAGAATAATTCAGTTAGATCACTCAAAACAATACCGTTTGAGAGAAGATCATACCAGGAGAAGGTTGAGGTTAAAGAGCTTGGACCTGATCAGCCAAATATTACCATTAGTCAGCAGTCCAGCGACAGGGGGAGACGGTACACTAGCAGCATGTAGCGAGGCTAATGCTTTATTTTGCTTTCCATGCCTCTTGTTTCAAACATCAGGATCTGACCCAGCATGGATCAAGACAGGTATGACTGATCTGAAGCACTTTTTAGAAAAGGCAAAGAAGCATGAGCAGACTGGTATCCACATGCAAAATGCCCTCAAATTAGCTATGTTTGGGAAGATAAATATTTCATCCCAGCTGGATGAAAGCTACAGGGTAGGGATCAGAAAGCACAATGAGGAGGTTGACAAGAATAGGCACATCCTATCAAAAATAATAGACTGTGTCAAATTCTGTGGTGCATTTATATCTAGTCATCATATTCATAGCCCCCCCAGTAGAAAATTCCACCAGCCGCCACTGGTTGGATAAATGACCGGAACTCTCCAAACGTCTCGGGCCTTGACAGTCGCGTGGAGGCGACATGTAAACAAGACCGAGTTCAGAGCAGCGCCCACTGCACAGAGGCTCTACTGAGTTTTACCGTGGATCTATTATAATATATAGTTTTACAAACGCGGTGTGAAGAGAAGAGACACATGGAGGATTAACGTCTGTGTGAGGTTACAACTACGATGATCAAAGAAGCAGGAGCTATCAGAGGTGGGACAAAGTCATTGTTTAGCAAGTCACAAGTCAGTCTCAATTCATTGCCCTCAAGTCCCGAGTCAAGTCCCGAGTCAAGTCACGAGTCAAGACAGGCAAGTCCCGAGTCGAGTCCAAGTCAAAGGCCAACAAATCTCAAGTCAGTCCCAAGTCCTACGGTTTGACTTTCGAGTCCTCTCGAGTCTTTTTGACCGCGATTTGTTTCTTGTTGGTCTCCACGTACTTTTGTAGGCAAACAAAATAATGTTAGGAATCATTTTGCTGGTGCATTCTTGTTGGTCTCTGACCCATGGACTAACAGTTTGTTCCATGTCGTTGGCTGCTGATAAATCAAAACTATCTACGTGATCTAATTGGATGTTGTGCCAGATGCAGGCTCAGTTACACATGCACAGACCACACATAAAATCAGAGCAGTCCGTGTCAACATACTTTTTATCTTTGGGGTTTTTAATGGGAAGTAGCAAGTGCAGCATATATGAATATGAGTATTGGGCTAGGACCTGTATCTATATAATCAGTTTAATGTCCGTAGTGGTTATTGTTCCAAATGTCCTACTGTAGAATAGGGGTAGTATGAGGGGTCTAGGCTTTGGACCTGAGGCAACTCGCCATCAACTGGACCAGCATTAGCAATATCTCATAATTACCAATATATCATTACATAATAAAATGTCTGGTAACACTTTACATTACGGGCCGGTAAGTCCATGGTACTTACAGTGGTACTTCTAGGTACTTACAGTGGTACTTCTAGGTACTTACGGTGGTACTTACGGTGGTACTTACGGTGGTACTTACGGTGGTACTTACGGTGGTACTTACGGTGGTACTTACAGGGGTACTTACGGTGGTACTTACGGTGGTACTTCTAGGTACTTCTAGGTACTTACAGTGGTACTTCTAGTGGTACTTCTAGGTACTTATTGTGGTACTTACAGTGGTACTTAGAGGTACTTATTGTGGTACTTACAGTGGTACTTCTAGGTACTTATTGTGATAATTCTAGATACAGCTGTAACTTAGTAATTCAAGGACACTACAGTATTATTCCTATGTAGTAAATGTGGTACTTCTACATACATACATACAGAGGTCATTTGTAGGATTGTTTGACTATAAAACATAAAACAACATTATGTAAAACAAACGTCTTTATTAATATGGAATAAGTAGCACAGAAAGGACAGTATAAATACATTTAATGCATATTTCAAAACAAGTTTCAAGGACAAGGGAAACACTGCAAGAACTAGGTACCCAACCCAAGTAACAAGAATTACACATTACCAGGTACTTACCAGCCAAGTACCAGGTACTTACCAGCAAGTACCAGGTACTTACCAGCAAGTACCAGGTACTTAACAGCAAGTACCAGGTACTTACCAGCAAGTACCAGGTACTTACCAGCAAGTACCAGGTACTTACCAGCAAGTACCAGGTACTTAACAGCAAGTACCAGGTACTTACCAGCAAGTACCAGGTACTTGCTGGTAAGTACATGGTATACTATATAATTACTGGTATCACTAGTACTTATGGGTAAGTCCTTTGTCTTATTATGGGCCAGTTCCTATGGTAAGTACCTGGTACTTACTATATAATTACTGGTGTTATCACTGGTACTTATGTTAAAGTCCTTTGTCTTATTATGGGCCAGTCCCTATGGTAAGTACCTGGTACTTACTGTATAATTACTGGTGTTATCACTGGTACTTATGTTAAAGTCCTTTGTCTTATTATGGGCCAGTCCCTATGGTAAGTACCTGGTACTTGCTGTTAAGTACCTGGTACTTGCTGGTAAGTACCTGGTACTTGCTGGTAAGTACATGGTATACTATATAATTACTGGTATCACTAGTACTTATGGGTAAGTCCTTTGTCTTATTATGGGCCAGTTCCTATGGTAAGTACCTGGTACTTACTATATAATTACTGGTGTTATCACTGGTACTTATGTTTAAAGTCCTTTGTCTTATTATGGGCCAGTCCCTATGGTAAGTACCTGGTACTTACTGTATAATTACTGGTGTTATCACTGGTACTTATGTTAAAGTCCTTTGTCTTATTATGGGCCAGTCCCTATGGTAAGTACCTGGTACTTGCTGTTAAGTACCTGGTACTTGCTGTTAAGTACCTGGTACTTGCTGGTAAGTACCTGGTACTTGCTGGTAAGTACCTGGTACTTGGCTGGTAAGTACCTGGTAATGTGTAATTCTTGTTACTTGGGTTGGGTACCTAGTTCTTGCAGTGTTTCCCTTGTCCTTGAAACTTGTTTTGAAATATGCATTAAATGTATTTATACTGTCCTTTCTGTGCTACTTATTCCATATTAATAAAGACGTTTGTTTTACATAATGTTGTTTTATGTTTTATAGTCAAACAATCCTACAAATGACCTCTGTATGTATGTATGTAGAAGTACCACATTTACTACATAGGAATAATACTGTAGTGTCCTTGAATTACTAAGTTACAGCTGTATCTAGAATTATCACAATAAGTACCCAGAAGTACCACTGTAAGTACCACAATAAGTACCTCTAAGTACCACTGTAAGTACCTAGAAGTACCACTGTAAGTACCACAATAAGTACCTAGAAGTACCACTAGAAGTACCACTGTAAGTACCTAGAAGTACCTAGAAGTACCACTGTAAGTACCACTGTAAGTACCACCGTAAGTACCACCGTAAGTACCCCTGTAAGTACCACCGTAAGTACCACCGTAAGTACCACCGTAAGTACCCCCGTAAGTACCACCGTAAGTACCACCGTAAGTACCACCGTAAGTACCACCGTAAGTACCACCGTAAGTACCACCGTAAGTACCACCGTAAGTACCACCGTAAGTACCACCGTAAGTACCTAGAAGTACCACTGTAAGTACCACTGTAAGTACCACCGTAAGTACCACCGTAAGTACCACCGTAAGTACCACCGTAAGTACCATCGTAAGTACCACTGTAAGTACCTAGAAGTACCACTGTAAGTACCTAGAAGTACCACTGTAAGTACCATGGACTTACCGGCCCGTAATGTAAAGTGTTACCAAATGTCTCATATAAATTAATTCAATCAGTCAAAGCACTGATTCTCATATCAATGCACCATAAACAATAGTGCAAATATTAATCTAGCTTAGTGCACATAATCAAAACAACTATCTAATGTATGCAAACTTTAGCAGGAGGAGCACAGCAAAAACATACTCATAATAATAGGCCTCGGCGCCCACACAGAAAAATATAAGAAAGAGCCAACAGAGCAGCGCAGGCTAGCGCTAGTTTGACTCACCAGTTCCTCTTTAAAACACGGCACACAGTGTGACAACTGC